GCAATTAGTTCTAGCAGAAGATGGGTGAGGTTCTGTGGCCTGCGATGTGCAGGTCAGATTTGATGATCATGGTGGTCCCTAAAGTCTATGAGTTAATCACCCCCCACGGTGTGAAGCATGACTAACCTGGGTTCTTTCCCCTAAGCTGCAGGAGATGGGGGTTAAACCCTGTCACACACCTGCCTTCTTCCCACTTGCTTATTAGTTAGCATGTTAAATGTCCTGTCTAACCCAGGATTGTGAGCTCTGTGTCAAACTTCCCAGCGAGTCCCATAACTCGCTGGCCTACTAGGTGCTATCTCCTTCTAATGGCTGGCACCTGCAACTACAGTGGAAGGCCTACAAAAGGGAAGTCCAGAGTGTTACTTCCTTAGCTCAAGTTGGAGCTTTTGCTCTTTGGTGCTTACGAGCCCTTTTGTCTGACCCAGTAAGGCCATTCTTATGTTCTTATGACCCTGTGTTTAATCCGCACTGAGGAATTCTCTCTCTGATCATTACTGACCATGGTATGCCTCAAGGATAGTTGAACTACAGTGCTGTATTAAGTGTTTAACATTAACAGAGATTCCAACGTCCACCCGAACTGAGGAAGAAGAATGGGTCCATGGGAAGGAATGTGACTTACTCTTAGGCAGTGCAAGTTTAACTTTAAAGCTAGATCATCCTCTCTGGGTCTTACCTCAATGCTTTGCTTCAGATGCTGGGAAGAAAGCTGGAGTCGGTGGTATTGATACAATATTAATGGATGTTAGCCTGGCCCTATCCAGTGCTGGGCTGACTGCAGACCTCTTCCATTTATCACTGTTGGCTTCTAAACCATCCGTTAATGAGTGGAAACAAAATGTTTGTACCAAGCAATCCAAGCAAGAGGAAATTGAGAAGGAAATGCAATAATTATCGACTCATTTTCAGGCTGCTCTCTACTTCCACCAAGGTTTCAGACAAATCCATGACGACTGACTTGAGTTTGCTAATGCAAATTGACGGCATTTTAATGAGTGCTTGAGCTAAATTTCACCCTAAGCACTTTTAGTGCCTGTGAAAGGTAGAATCATAGAATATCAGGGTTGGAAGGGACTCCAGAAGGTCATCTAGTCCAACCCCCTGCTCGAAGCAGGACCAATTCCCAGTTAAATCATCCCAGCCAGGGCTTTGTCAAGCCTGACCTTAAAAACCTCTAAGGAAGGAGATTCTACCACCTCCCTAGGTAACGCATTCCAGTGTTTCACCACCCTCCTAGTGAAAAAGTTTTCCTAATATCCAATCTAAACCTCCCCCACTGCAACTTGAGACCATTACTCCTCGTTCTGTCATCTGCTACCATTGAGAACAGTCTAGAGCCATCCTCTTTGGAACCCCCTTTCAGGTAGTTGAAAGCAGCTATCAAATCCCCCCTCATTCTTCTCTTCTGCAGGCTAAACAATCCCAGCTCCCTCAGCCTCTCCTCATAAGTCATGTGTTCTAGACCCCTAATCATTTTTGTTGCCCTTCGCTGGACTCTCTCCAATTTATCCACATCCTTCTTGAAGTGTGGGGCCCAAAACTGGACACAGTACTCCAGATGAGGCCTCACCAATGTCGAATAGAGGGGAACGATCACGTCCCTCGATCTGCTCGCTATGCCCCTACTTATACATCCCAAAATGGTCTCCCACAGTATTCTTGTCAGCAAGTTAAGGAAGTATGGGCTGGATGAATGCACTACAAGGTGGGCAGAAAGCTGGCTAGATTGTCGGGCTCAACAGGTAGTGATCAATGGCTCCATATCTAGTTGGCAGCCGGTATCAAGTGGAGTGCCCCAAGGGTCGGTCCTGGGGCCGGTTTTGTTCAATATCTTCATAAATGATAAATGGGACAGAAGAACCCAATGCACAGCTACAGACTAGGGACTAGGGACCGAATGGCTAGGCAGCAGTTCTGCGGAAAAGGACCTAGGGGTGACAGTGGACGAGAAGCTGGATATGAGTCAGCAGTGTGCCCTTGTTGCCAAGAAGGCCAATGGCATTTTGGGATGTATAAGTAGGGGCATAGTGAGCAGATCGAGGGACGTGATTGTTCCCCTCTATTCGACATTGGTGAGGCCTCATCTGGAGTACTGTGTCCAGTTTTGGGCCCCACACTTCAAGAAGGATGTGGATAAATTGGAGAGAGTCCAGCGAAGGGCAACAAAAATGATTAGGGGACTGGAACACATGAGTTATGAGGAGAGGCTGAGAGAGCTGGGATTGTTTAGCCTGCAGAAGAGAAGAATGAGGGGGAATTTGATAGCTGCTTTCAACTACCTGAAAGGGGGTTCCAAAGAGGATGGCTCTAGACTGTTCTCAATGGTAGCAGATGACAGAACGAGGAGTAATGGTCTCAAGTTGCAGTGGGGGAGGTTTAGATTGGATATTAGGAAAAACTTTTTCACTAAGAGGGTGGTGAAACACTGGAATGCGTTACCTAGGCAGGTGGTAGAATCTCCTTCCTTAGAGGTTTTTAAGGTCAGGCTTGACAAAGCCCTGGCTGGGATGATTTAACTGGGAATTGGTCCTGCTTTGTGCAGGGGGTTGGACTAGATGACCTCCTGGGGTCCCTTCCAACCCTGATATTCTATGATTCTATGAAATGCCATTGGCCTTCTTGGCAACAAGGGCACACTGCTGACTCATATCCAGCTTCTCGTCCACTGTCACCCCTAGGTCCTTTTCCGCAGAACTGCTGCCTAGCCATTCGGTCCCTAGTCTGTAGCAGAATAATAACTCGCCAGCCTGAAGTCCTCTATTTAAGACTCAGTAGGACCTTGTCCAGACAGTTGCACTGTCAGCTTCCCTGACATATGCCTCCTCCCTGACCTAGTCTGACCACTTCTATGGATGAGAAGGAAGGTCAGGCTCTGTGTTGCTGACAAGGGGTCAGTTCGTGCCAATTCTGATGGTGCTTCCTGTGATCTAGTCACTTGTTCGCTGGGAAATGGGCTTAGACCTACCAATTTTTTCTACATAAGCCTTCAGATAGCCATGAGACAGCAGGAACTTCCAGTCAGGGCTGGGTACACACTGGTAGGCCCTTCAAAACTACAGCTTTCACATGTTATTCATTAGTTTGCTCCACCCGATCATTTGCTATGGATATCAGGACCATTAATCGTTAGTTTGCTGGGGTGTAAGATTAGTTTGGGTTTCTCCTGCCAATAGCAATAAGGTTAAATATTACCTTAACGAGGGAAACAAATTATTTTAGAATAATCTAAGAGCCCATCAACACCACCCCAACACTAGCCCCATTGGCTGATTCCACAACATTCCAATTTCCTGCAGCTGCAGGAAGAAAGAGATGGGGGGTAAAATTCTCAAAAGTGCCTAAATCCTATTTACTTTCAATGAGCTTGAGGCTCTTAAGTGTCTAAGTCCCTTTAGAAAGTGGGACCTGGACACTTTTGAAAATTCTACCCTAGGATTTAGAACCTAACCCAGGTCTTTGCATGGCACTGAAAAGGACTCTAACCACTAGGACATCAGGCTTGCTGGCGAGTCACATATTAATGATCTCCATGATGCAGAGTTTGGCTTTCCCAGTGCAAAAAGTTCTTGGAGGTAGTGCAAACAGTGATGCCTCCTGCAGGTGCTGAGGGGTTAGCCTGCTTTGGACTCGTAAGAAGAGTCACTTGTTGTATATTCAACTGGATTACACGGTGTTTAGAGAGACAACGCAGGTAAGGTAATATCATTTATTGGAAGATATTCCCCTATCAACCGTGTCTCTCTTACATCCTGGGACCTACATGGCTACAACAACACTGCAAACAGAGATTAGGGCAACTCTAAGATTGAGTTGGGGTTGGTCCTGCTTTGAGCAGGGGGTTGGACTAGATGACCTCCTGAGGTCTCTTCCAACCCTGATCTTCTAGGATTCTATGAACACTGTTCTAGTTGTTTTATTTCTGTGTCCAAAGTAGGGGCCAATTTGGGACATGAAGCGAAGATAACTAGTCCTATCCCTGTTTTAAACCAGGACTTGGACTACTAAGGAAATGTATCCACCTATCCTTTCTAGGGGGAGAGAGTGTATTTTGCTGGAAACGTACCAAGTGATGGTTGCTGCCTCAGCAAATGTATCCCGCCCAGATAGATAGATGAGCAGTGACTACCCCTGCTGGGCCAAACTTCTTAATAAACACCACAAAGAAAAAATTGTGTCTGTGTGGAAAAGAAAACGACAGGGTGGATTTTCTTCTCCAGAGAGAGAGCCTGTGAAGAGAAGCACTGAACAGCCCCAAAGCTCTCAACCTAGGGTGACCAGACAGCAAATGTGAAAAATCGGGACGGGGTGGGGGGTAATAGGAGCCTATATAAGAAAAAGACCCAAAAATCAGGACTGCCCCTATAAAATCGGGACATCTGGTCACCCTATCTCAACCATGCAGGAAACTGATCACATGAGACAGACCCACTGGATCCCAAACGTGGATTCTCACTCAGTGCTTCGGAAGAAAGTGAAAATTCTGTGGTCCCTGCCAATATATCCCTGGGGGAAGTTCCTTCTTGAGCCAGAGTCTGGAGACCAGCTGAATTTGTGAGTGAGCATTTCCATGGTTAGATATCTAATCCCATTTCAATCCCATTGTTCACTTCCCTCTTCTAACTCTGTCAGTAGCTCCTGGGGCAGAACACTCTGGAGAATGCTCTAACTACAGCTTTTATGGTCTGAGTTGTCTTTAGAGGTCTAAGTCTTTATTATGAGTTCTGGGTTCTCAGCACCATCAAAATCAGGCTCTAGTCATTGCTAGTGGTAGTGGGCACAACTGATATGTTTAGATACTGGGAAGCTAATGTTGTTTTAAAGAAACATATATGTCGTTACCACTGTTGCTATCCTCTCACCTCTTCCAACAGCCAGCACGGTTATTTGCAATGAAGGACGCAGGTTTCATATGTATGCTTTTTAATATTGTTAATTCTGTTACACTACACACAACCAGTAACAATGATAAATACTGCAATGGAAATGTTAAAAAAATATTATACATGTTTCATGTTTTCCAAAAAACACATTTTAAAATAAATTAATGCATAAAACTGACCGTAAAAAAAAAAAAAAAAAAAACACAACACAACGGATCTGTTTAAGGCAATACTCTACACAGACGGGAGTGGAAATACACCAGTGTGCTACAGGTTCTGAACAGGAAAGGAAAATTAAAACCCATTCTTTAGAAGATACGGGCTGACACTTCCAGAGTGGAAATAAACCAAAACTAGAAAGAAACCAAATTGCCAAGTGAAGCGTGGCATTAATATGCCTGGCTGTGCCAAATGACTAGCAGTTTCTTAACGTGGAACAAGGCCAAGCTATGAAAATCATCTCTTCTTCCTAATTAAATGATTGGTTAGGCTGAACCCTACACTTAATGCCATTTTGTATTTGGCAGTTTCAGCTACATTTCACTACATCCGAGAGCCAGACAGGGATGGATATTCATCTCTTGGTCTGAGACCAATGGAGAGGTCAGGAGTTCTCTCCATGAGAAGGAAATTCCATTTAACTGATCCAAAAAAGAGTTCAATTCCAGTGACCCACAAACACCTCCTGTCGTCCGCTGCCTCAGACTTCATGCAGTGAATTGATATCTTGGGAATGCTTTGACACGGTTTTTAATGCAGAGCACAAGGTTTACCTTCAGGATGGGTCTAGACACAGTAAAGAGTTGAGCTCTCCTATACTTCTGTACTCATAAACAATGGAGATCAATACAACACTGCTGAAAGCAGAGGCCTGTTTAATTCCACAGAAGGAAAAAAACCACCACTACAAACCACTGTACTCTGTGACCCATTGTATAGATACAGCCAAGGTATTTGCCATTTTGATGAATGCAAAGGCTACACACCTGCCTGGGTAGGACTCTGCCACATCAGATTAATCCTGGGTATTAATTAACCCTGCAAGTTGGCCATTTTGAGGTTAACAAATAATCTTAGTGCAAAAAAATCCCCCTCTCCTGCCACAAAATAAAAAGGAACAGTAGCCACTTTCTGTCAGCTTCTGTGGGTGGATCCTCGTCAACTGTAGCGTATGCAAGAAGGGCAATGCCAGATCTCACCTATATCGACCAAATACATTTCTAGTAAGGTGCATGTCCGCAAGGTGCCGGTGGGCCTTCTGGAAGATGGCAAGAGACTTCTACACTACCCCTTTAAAGTACTTGAAGATGATTACCTATATATATATGTGTGTGTGTGTGTGTGTGCGTCCGCGTGTGTATTCAGATAAAGAAGGTTAAAAATAGAGGGGAGAAAAAAACCCAATGAATAAACTAAAACTAGTGACGGTCAACAATTTTTGCCGCTCAACTATCTTTGCCATCTTGGATTTGGGTGGGAAAGGAGGCAGAACTGATCTGAGAGTCATTTGGATACAACAGTCTATGTCATTCATCACTAGTTCATATGAAGAAAACAAGGAGAGGTGTGAATGGAGGGTGTGTGCAGTATAACAAGGCTTGCAATTCTAGAGCTAACCACTGGACACGGATACCAAAGTTTACCGGTTACAACTAGTTATACGTTTACAGTTGCTGCTGCTGTTTTCTCCCCTTCTGCCCCGTTCCTTGGCTGATTCTCTGGTTTTGGGAAGCTGTAGCTGTTTCACACGATGGTCAGCATCCTATCTCCTGCTCCACCCCATCACACAGAGCACAAGGTGACTCATCTACAGTATGTACAATGAGATTTGCAAGTTGCATGTTACCGCACAGAACGACATTGCATGCAAGATGACTCCTGCTTTCAGAATTCTTTAGAATGCTATTAAAATGGCGGTTTGTTTCCTTCTTTAAAAGGCTCAGTAATCCCTGCGCAAGGAGTAAAAAATGGTTAAAAATGTGCAAAAAAACCTTTCCACTTCTTCTCCTTTATAGAGACTTAAGAGTTTTCATGAGAGCCTTCTAACCACGAAACTACAACCTTACCCGGAAGTCTGCTTTCCTTGCAGGGCACATCAAGATGGGTTATGACATAGCATAGCAAGTGGCTAACTGGTTGACCATTCACCATGCATCTCGATCATGGGACCTACAAATACATGTGAATACCACCTGTGCTACGGAGAGAGGTAGGTCTGACTCCTGGAGTTCAGATCTGTGGTCAAACTTCCTCTGAATCCAAAGGGCTTTGGATCCTGTGCTCTGGTTCAGATCTGTCTCTAGTATTGCTTAAGAGAAAGCAACACCCCTCATTTGCACAGCAGCATCCTAAAAGTTGAAAGGCTTTTTGTGCATTTAATTTAAGGTCTCGATTAAAATCAGCATTTCAGAGCTGCCGGCTGCTACGCTGCAGAAAAGTAACCTCATCTGTGACTGGAACAATGTAAGGCCTCGATGTCAGGTAGGAGCCAGCTGTCAATATTGGTTGCTTAGTTTGATTCTTTAACCTTCTGCAGATGTTAGCTAACTCCTGCTTGGAACCTGTACTTGGGACTTTGCTCATGAGCCGGCAGTGCCTGGGCCAGCTGGATAGCACACAGCGCCCAGGGGAGGAAGCTCCCTGTATCACTCTAGTGACGTCTCGGATTTACTCCATGAACAGCCTGGAAGGGAGAGATGTACATCTCTTCTGCCCAAAGGGTGTTCTCATGACTCAGCCTTTGGGGCTGAGAGGAAAGGGAAAAATGAGTAGGAAACATCTCCCCTGCAGAGGAAAAACCTTAGCATGAAGGAAGGATGACAACTGCTTGTAATCCAACGTTCATTTTTTCCACCACCTTCATAGCGAGAAATTCATTATCACATGAAAGTAATAATGACATGAGCCCACACCAAGAGCCGGATCCAAATCTCCCTGAACTCTGCGAAGTCTGGATCTGGGTCAGAACTTTGAAGTTTGGACCCATCTAACACAGAGCACAAACTTGGAATGCCAAGCCAAGTGGCTGCAGCAGCCGTTCATGGGAGAGGCAAGCAGGGTCCGTTTTAATGCTGTGCTTCTTTTATACATGGGGAAGTCAGACATGAAAGAACCACCAGCCTGAAACTCAAGGCCTTTGTATGCCTTGTATTTCAATTGGATCCTCTGCTTCTATAAAGCCAGTGGTGACTCTGCCTTACTCCATGGATGGGAGAGACCGATGTTCAGTTAGCCATTGTAACCATCACAACACATTACACAGGAGACATCCCCAGGGGACTGAGTTTGCTGGATGGAAATCAAACCTGGTTCCTGCCACTCCACCATCAATTTGTTTGTAGGCTCTCCCTGTGGCCTAATGCCCACTTTAATTTGCCTTGATTTGCCAACTGCCAGGACTGGCTACACCCCCACAAGGTATTGGATGCCAATGCACCTGGGCCATTATCTGTGCGAGCTTTTCAATACAAGTAATTTGCGATAGGTTGAGCAGAGACAGCTGGGAGGTGGGGGATGCTAAAAGCCCAAATGCACGTCAGCTGGAAAGTAACTGGTAAAAATTGATTCCTTTATCCTTTTGGAAGGAGTAGGGAGACTGAGGTGACTGGGATAGAGAGCAGGAATTCCAGTTAAATACAGTCTGGGCATCAGAACAATGCAGTATCAGGAAGAGCAAAATCAAATGAGTAACCATGGAACAAACGTCCCTACAGGGAATGGGACTTATCTCACTGCTGCACTTCCTGGGTGCTTTTGTTTTTCTGGTGCCTGTTGTGGTGGTTTCCAGTGACATGTCTGAGACAGCCGCATTGCAATAAAGGCTGCATTGTACCTTCCCCTCGCTTGATGTAATTCCACTGCTTAGATCATAATTTGTTACTATGGAAATAGCTGCATCACAGACCAGGGACTATCAGCAACACACACTTGTTCCAAACGCAAACCCATCTTGCACTAAGGCATGTCACTAGAGGAAAAGATGGAATCGGACCTGTCACTAGCTCCCACAGGTAAATCCCACTGGATTGGGAAGATCCTGGGAGCAACTGCCACCTGCGGCTGCAGGAGAAGGCTGCGACACACGTTGATGGCAAGGTGGCCAAAAGGAGCAGCCAAAATGCAGCCTGCAGCTCCCAAAGTCGCGGTGTTCTATGACTACCTTCCCTTTCGTACAAAAGTGCAGCTCCCAGGAAATCCCAGAAGTCCCCGAGTGCAATGTTCCAGCCCAATGTGATACTCTTTAGTTTGACTCATGCTGAGATCCTGCAGTCTGCACAGGCCATTGCAATCTCCTTCACTTAATCCCAAACAGCTGGCAGACCTTTGGCCCCCCAGCAAGCAGCCAGCGACATTCTCAGTTGGACACAGTTCGGGTGCTGCTGTCCGATGGATGTCACAGACTCCAAGATACCAAAGAGATGGGTGAGAGGAGAGACGCTGACACCCAGGCTCAAGGATGGTTCACTACTCTGTGTCAGCTGTGCGTGTTAGGCCTGACAAACTCACCACACCTAACACATTGTTGTCATAATTTGTATCTAAAAGTATACAAACTGGTAACATGCTGGTCCTGAAAATCACTGTGTGGTGTATGCACAGTAAACCCACAAAGGGCTTTATAAGACACATGCCACAAAAGTGTTCTGAACATGTATTTGGCCTGCGGTGTTTGAGCCACGCCTGTTCCAGACAAAGGAATGTGGTTCCACTTACTTGAATGTGTCTCCCATGTCATTTAGGCAAGATGTCACCAAAGACAAGGAAAAGGACATTTACAGACAAGGTAAATAAAGCGCTCAGGAGAGCAAGCTGGACAAGATGACACTTAATCTCAACATGGGGTTGAGAAAGCACCCTCCAGGAAGCCTTCCTGCCTCTTGAAGCAGGATGAATGAACTGTGGGATGACAGCCTGGCATCTACACCACGGCAGGAGAGAGAAGCTTGGGCTGCGCTGACTTTTCAAAGAACACATTTCAAAGGTTTACTGGGGCTATAAAGACAGGGTGGGTGAACTTTAAACAATAAGTAATTGAAGGAACTGATTGGGTATAATATCATTGTATTGTAAAAGTGTAGCAAGCAAGGTCTTTCAGGAAAGCCTGTGACACACTGGTGATTAATATCAGTGTGAAATGTATTCATTAGCACTACATGAGGGATTATGGATATTCACTGCCATTATCCTTTAAAGTCTGGGACCAAACACAGGGAGAAATAGGTTTTCTCCCAGACAGGAGGGAAGGTATCAGCCTGTTTCCAATGCAAATTAAGTATTATAGAATCAAAACAATGGAAATCCTATTTACATTTGAATCAGAGATGGCATGGGAAGTCAACTGGAAGGGAAGACCAGCATGGATCCTTCCCACCTCTTGTAACAGGGTCAATGAATTCTGGGAGAAAGCAGCAGAAACAGGAAGCCATCCTGGTAGCCACCACAGAATGTTGGATCCTTCAACCAAAGCAGCTGAAGTCCCCGAGAAACCTGCTTAGGGAAAGACTGTAACTTGCTGAAGTTCAGTTTCAGTCTCAGAAGCACATTTTTACTTTCGTTTGCTTGTAACACTGAAAACTATGACTTTTTGTTTAATACACGTGTTTTACTTCTACTATAAATCCAGTTTAGTGCTGTGATTGAAAGAAGAGTGTTTGTGAAACCCCAGTTAAATCGATGGGCTGCTCTTTAAAGGAGCAATGAACAATAACATCTGTGTGTCCAGTGAGAGGGCTGGACACTGCAGGGGAATGTCTCTAGGGAACTCGGGAGCTGGGGTTTGCTGTTGTTACCTGCAAGGCCAGGTTTGGACTGGCAGAGTCCTGAAGAGTTTGCTGGCAAGGCAGACAAGCTGGTGTGTCAATTGTCACACAGCTTAGCAGTAGGCAGACTCACACTTGTGGAGGCTGAGAGGGGTATCACAGTAACTCATAATTCTGGGGACCCCAGCAAATTGCCACCCTGGTGTAGTGGACACTACAGGGCAGACAATGTGGGGAACATTTGGGACTGGAGGGTGTTGGGGGTCACCCTGCAAAAAGTAGCTGGGCACTGGAAGCCAGGGTATAACCTGCAAGCTTGTAGGCTGGCTGTTGGGATCAGGGTTGTCAAACACAGCTTTGAAGGCACCCAGCGTCGCAGGGCAGATGGTGACATAACCCCCCCCAGAGACGTGGTTTCACATTTTTTGGAAACTGCCTTTATCACTGCAACTTACCTTACACAACACAAAGGAATGGGCTTAACGTTTGAGCTTCAGGTACCAGCTTCAGGTACCACCGAGCCCCACAGAAAAGAGCAGGTGCCCGTATCCTGTCTGTCGGAGATGCTCCCCTGTTAGTTTGTTGTAGACTGTTCCAGTTCACAGTGCTTTTAGGCTAAGCCACTGGCCTTTCTGGGTCTGGATTTGTCTGGTTATGAACGCTGTCCCTGCCGTGCTCACATTCGCCGTTCTGGGAACACAGGCCGGATTGCCTGATGAGACGCAGTTCAGAGTCTGAAGCAAACCCTCAGACGCAGGGAACCACAGCGTGAAAGAGGCCGTGCTTTCAGCGAAGGCGAGCAACAGAGTCGTTATCTCCCAGTGCCACTACGCCCTCCCATGAGGGGCACACACAGGCCTCAGCACCAGCAACTGACTGACTTCGATAGGAGTCTAAACTGGGAGGAGTGGTAGATACGCTGGAGGGGAGGGATAGGATACAGAAGGACCTAGACAAATTGGAGGATTGGGCCAAAAGAAATCTGATGAGGTTCAATAAGGATAAGTGCAGGGTCCTGCACTTAGGACGGAAGAACCCAATGCACAGCTACAGACTAGGGACCGAATGGCTAGGCAGCAGTTCTGCGGAAAAGGACCTAGGGGTGACAGTGGACGAGAAGCTGGATATGAGTCAGCAGTGTGCCCTTGTTGCCAAGAAGGCCAATGGCATTTTGGGATGTATAAGTAGGGGCATAGCGAGCAGATCGAGGGACGTGATCATTCCCCTCTATTCGACATTGGTGAGGCCTCATCTGGAGTACTGTGTCCAGTTTTGGGCCCCACACTTCAAGAAGGATGTGGATAAATTGGAGAGAGTCCAGCGAAGGGCAACAAAAATGATTAGGGGTCTGGAACACATGAGTTATGAGGAAAGGCTGAGGGAGCTGGGATTGTTTAGCCTGCAGAAGAGAAGAATGAGGGGGGATTTGATAGCTGCTTTCAACTACCTGAAAGGGGGTTCCAGAGAGGATGGCTCTAGACTGTTCTCAATGGTAGCAGATGACAGAACGAGGAGTAATGGTCTCAAGTTGCAGTGGGGGAGGTTTAGATTGGATATTAGGAAAAACTTTTTCACTAAGAGGGTGGTGAAACACTGGAATGCGTTAACTAGGGAGGTGGTAGAATCTCCTTCCTTAGAGGTTTTTAAGGTCAGGCTTGACAAAGCCCTGGCTGGGATGATTTAACTGGGAATTGGTCCTGCTTTGAGCAGGGGGTTGGACTAGATGACCTTCTGGGGTCCCTTCCAACCCTTATATTCTATGATTCTAGGAGTTATGGACTCGGCACTGCGTGAGCTTGTAACATACCACACCACACCCACACCCCAGAGGACCTTTACAGTTACTACCCTCCACTAGGCTCCTATATCACAAAAATCTAAACAATGTAACCCATACCGCCCTCCCCAAGGCCCTGCCTGGGAAGCTCCATACACTGCTCTATTTATACAGGGGTCAAGGGCAGGAGAAAGAAAAGCACTCTCCTGAATCCTGGTGTCTGCTCTGAAGGGAAGTCAGGGGTGGCGCAAGGATGAGTTAACTTTGAGTCAAATGCCGGGCATACGGTGATGGCCCGTATGTGCTGCATCAAGCAATGCTCAGATGACAAGGCAAATTGACTTCTGCATAGCAGCAGCCATATTCAGTGCGGGTTTGGAGGAAGAATGGAAGGTGAAGGGAGTGCCCAGAGAGTGAGAGCGAGCAAGCCTGAAAGCCAAGAGAGGGAGGAAAGTTTGAATTTATACTTTAAATTGTTACATGCACAGAAAAAACAACACAGGAAGCTTCCCACGGAAACTCCCTCACAGATCAGATCTGCTGCTGTGCTGCTCATTTCCACCATTTGGTCAATTCATCCAACTTGACCTCCCCCACGCCGGTACATCCACGTGCCCTCTTCCGCGCCTTCATCCTGCTGACGATGGACAGCGCTGCCAGGCTCTCAGACATGCTCCCACATTCCACGCAGCTGGAGCAGCAGTAGCCAAGACCTGGGCAGCCAGCTTCGCGAGTGCCAGCTGCTCTATAACCAGGAAAGGCACCCCTGCCAAACAGCTCTCCCCAGTGTGGTTTTATCTCGATTAGCCTCCACCCTGAGGCCTTCTGGTACATTGCAACATCAGAAGCCGCTACATAAAGGGACGGGGAGCTGCACCGCTGCTCTTTGTGGATTTGGATTTTTAAAAGAAATCTGACAGTTTTAAATTCACCTGTCATCTCTAGCACCTTTCGCCAAAGGATCCTAAAGCACCCGACAACGATAAACGCAGCCTCACCACCCCTGTGAGATAGAATTATAGCCCTGGACAGAGGCAAGGTCACAGCAAGTGTGTAGCAGAGGTCAGGACACCACTCTGCTCATTAAGATTATTAGCGGATTTTCTGTAGTTAGCATCTTTCATCCCCCGTTGGCTTTCGGGTTGGTTTCCTGTGCGTGCGCAGCAAGCAAGATTTGCATCGTGCCTGTAACAGCCCCTTACTGAAGCAGATTAGTTTGGACAACCAGGACCTGCCCTAAGCTTAAGAAGGCACTTGGCAGCACCCCCAATCACTGCCTCCTTTTCTCCTCCCACCAACCCACCTGGCGCTCATCTGGGTCCTGTCCTCTTTCAAAAGCTTCTTCCTCGTTTCTGCTCAGTCATGTACAGCAGCAGCTTATTTATCAAGCCTCCCAGACTCCTTTGCACTAGCTGCAATGGGACCTCAGAACAGGTGCCACAACCACCATGACACAAGGATTCTGGGGAGCAACGGAGCTATGAAGGTGCAAGCCGGGATGCAGCTGAAGAGAAGCCAACACCCCCTCTGGGATGGGGGAGTTGGAGGGCAGATACAGAAGCTGAAGAGAAGCAGTCTGGCCTACCCTGTGGGTAAGCCCAACTAGCCCAGTGCTATTCTGGCAAGTCCAGTCAGTGGGGACACTGCTTCACTGCTACCCCTGCCAGACCTATTTATTCAGGCTCTAGGCAGGCACAGACAAGACAGCCAAAGTAGCACATCAGACCCAAAGGCACATGGGCTGACAGAATAAATATGCTGGCAAAAAGGGCAGAGGAAGAGATTACAGAGACGAGCCTAGCTGGAGGATACTACATCTAAAATACAATCCAGATAAGTAATGGGGCAAGCAACATACGTCAGAGAAGGACTCGGCGGGTTCTCCCTCCGTGAGGATTGGCTTCATAGCTGGGAAAACATCTCATCAGACAAGCTTAGGGCCAGTGGCCTAGTTAGATGACATCAAGCTTCCTTCCTTCCAAAGATCTCCATACACGTACCTGCAACATGGAAAAAGGGCACCAGGAGGACTGAAGCAGGGCTACTGGCTAGTGGACCAGGAAGCCCCCTCCGCTCCATTTTCCAGTGTGCAGTGCTAAGTTAGTGCAGTGGTTGAGAAGCTTGTGAGCCAAGCTCATTACAAGATGACAGCAGTTTGTCAATCAGCTAAGATTCCCTCTCTCCCCCCCCAGCTCAACTTGACTCCCCTGCCCTCCCTTCCTGACTCCAAAAGATTTCTCCACCTTTTTACTGCTTCTAAAAACCCTAAGAATTCCTGTCACACCCCCTCTTCCTTTTGAGATGGTATTTGGCTCCTCTCCAGAGCTTCGTAATGCTGCTCTGATCAATAGCCTCTACAGTGCTCCTAGACCCTGATGGTCCAGGGCACTGGACATGGAGATCCTCAGAATAGGGTTGCCAACTCTGACTGAAGCTATTCCAGGAGATTCCACCCTCCCCGCCCCCAACCTGACAATGTCATTTTCTTAAAATATCCAATTAAAATCTCCCAAATTGCTTTCAGTAGTCACCGGGCAATTGATGCCGATTCCAGGCCAATCCTGGAAGGTTGGCAACCCTACTTCAGACTATGTGACAGTTCAGTGCATCAACTGAATTCTTCTACATGATCACTTTTGGTGGCATTTAAGTGGAAGAAGAGTCAGACTAGAATGAATCTGAATCATCCCATTTTGGACACTATATAGCAAGACATTGTGCTAATGGAAGATAACTTGGTCCCAACCGGCCCTGCATCCAGTCACATACTAGGATATACAGGTGCTTAGATACAAGGATGATCAGTATAGGTGACTCACAAATACTGAGGGTAGACAGAACTTTACAGTGGGTTGGTTGAGTATATATTCCTTCAAAGGGAGCAACGCACCACACACAGACTGTTACTTGCTCATCCCAGTGTGGCAGAAATGTAGAGATTCCCTATTTATGGTGTTAATCTTCGGAAACGGGGCAGTCTTCATCCCAGACGGCGAGCCAAATCTGTACGCTGAGGCCTCACATACTCGAGTCAATATGGAAGTTAACACCTGATAGACAGGAAGGGTTGTGATCAAATTCCGTTGTTTTATGGTGACAAATTAAGAATCCCAATATGCATCAAGCAGAGGGGCTTTGATTTTAGAGGCATCAAGTGGACATAAATTTGTGGGGCCCAAGAGTCAATATAAGAGAATTTTCCAAATTGTCAGGCAAACAGCATCTGTGTGATAATTTCAGCAAATGGGGACACAGGCTTTCGCCCTGTGTGGAGTTGTAATGTGGCCCTCGAGGGTTTGGGATTGGAAGATGGGACTTTTGATAAAGTCAGACTCTTCTCGAGAACGCCAGGTGGTTTAGTGGGACTAGTCACCTTGAAATAAGGGATGCATCGGGATATCAAGTGCTCTCGTTCAAGCAGTCTGCTGGCACGAGAACACTCTGGCAGGTTTATGAATGTGTTCTCCAGCTGAAGTGGAAAGTGAGGGACATCCTCCTGTTTCTTCCCTCGTCTCCTGGGGCTGAGAAACAGCACCACAGAATCACCAGGTACATTGCCAGGAACTGTTGGCATAGTTTAATCCCCTTTGAGTGGCATGAGATAAGAGAAGCCATCCACTGAACCCAAAGTTTGGGACATGAGGCCATGTAGGGAGAGCCAGGCTCAACTAGCCATTTTTCAGATTAATACCCCTCCCCAACCTTCCACCATAGTTTTTTTTTTTTTTTTCTCTTTTTTTTGTTTTTAAAGCAACAAGTTCATATTCTGCACAAGAAACTGTAGTGGAGCAGGATTATTGGTCAACTTTCTATAATAGCCACGTGTGCATTTTCTCAATGCATTTCCTGAATCCAACCCTACATTGATAACTGCTTTTCTTTCTACCCTGTCTAGTTTATCCCCCTGGTGAAATACATGGACACAAAGCATAGAGTGAGGAGAAGCCAAAAGTTTCCATTTTATGGATCTGTACTGATCATGCTAAGCCAGCTGTTTGTACAACCAAACCCCTTTGCGAATGGGGAATGAAACAAACTCAGCATGTGATTTCCTTACATCTGTAGAAAGCACCCGTCATGTAGCATGGTTTGTAGATCCCATGAAAGTACTTGTAGTGTAATTAATATTTAAACATAGTCTTCACCTCCCTCCTATCTTCCCCAAACACTGAGCATCTCTCTCACACAGATCCTAAAGGGTTAAACTGGAAGCATGTGCTTATTTCACAGCCTAAAAGGTGGGGTGTGTGTGTGCTGGGGGTGGAGTGGGGTGGACATTTGGGGCGGGAGGCTGAAAAAAATTTAAACCAGAAGAAATAAAAGCATTTGTTCCTGCTAACTTGGGGCAACAGTCATCACATCAGCAGGTGAGGTCTCTTCTTTAATATGGTGGGGCAGCCTATGAAGACTATTAATCCCAGCATGCAGTGCTCCATCTTGAGCTGCATACCAGCCTATGAAGACTATTAATCCCAGCATGCAGTGCTCCATCTTGAGCTGCATACCAGCCTATGAAGACTATTAATCCCAGCATGCAGTGCTCCATCTTGATCTGCATACAAGCTCACGCTTGGTACAAGGACAGGGGCTTTGCATGCCGGGACCTGTAGTCTGGCACAGGCCATGCCATTGTATTTAAATACAAAGTAGATGCAGAGCTCTGGGGCACCAGACCCCTTATAGGCAATGCTCCCAGTTGGGCAAAATTTGAGCAGCTGTGCTTGACATGATGAACACTGCCCCAGAGGATGAATATGATGAAGATGTTGGTGTTCGTATGAATACTTCACTATGTAGTCCCAGTCTATAAAGTTTTAGTCAGCAGTCTGAAAGCCTGTATTAATATAGCCCTTTAAAGGGACACTGTCAAATAATTTTAGTTCAGAATTTGACCTTTTTTTTTTTTTTTGGGTAAGATTTAGCCACATTCCCCACTCATTACGCCCAAGAATCAAAAGCCAGCTTGTCTCTACACATATTGTTTTCTGAGAGCTCCTCTTCTGCCTAGTTATTCCCAAAGTGGAGCATCATTTCTGCTGGCATCATAGATGAAATGGGCACACAATGGCTGACGATTTGTGCTTCTCTAGAAACGTTTGGGAAAACTTCCACCTCAATAGTTGCCAAGTGATTAAAAAGGGCTAGATCAATAGGGGAATATTTGGTTTCCAAAAGTCTCGGAGGATTTGCAAAGGGCAGTTAGCACTTACAGATGTAAAGTGCTATAAACAACTGCAACTTATCCTCACAATGCCCTGTGAGGTAGGTAAGTATTCTGCCATTTTACAGATTGGGAAAACACAGTTTAAGTGATTTGCTCAAGGCCACCCCAGCGAGTGGTGGAGCTGGGATCTAGAACCTAGGAGCCCCTGTGCTCTAATCCTGTGCTCTGACCACTAGATTATGCAGCATCTTGCCATACACAGAGTAAAAGCCAACAACGATTAAAGCTATTAAAAGCAGCTGACAGTGTCCTTTTAAAGATTCAGTTGACTGCATCTAACTTTTACGCAAGGATTTTATATTCTCCAGGAAGATGAAATTTAAGCATATGTGTTGCATTCTGAAGAAATTCCCAGAAGAAGTTTAAACTGGAAAAATGGTTTCGTTTTCCTCCAATATTTTCATCGCCAAAACCTGAAGCAAGCACTAAAAGCAAGGTTGGCAATCTTTGTCCCTCCTGACAAAGCAGAAGAATATGCAGTTTCCTGAACACGTACAGCATTGTGCAAAGACAACTGTTCCTTCACTACTGGCACAGCCGTAACACAAGCTACGGCTGGCTCAGAATAGGGCAGAGGTGGGATGACAGCAGTTTCCCTTGTGCGTCTCATGATGGGAACCTGCTCAATCCTCTTGTTGCTGGAAATTGCCTATCCTACGAACATATGGCAACACTAAATGCACAGAAGTACAGTGTCGGTAAATCTCTTCTGTAGGAACTAAGAGGCTCAAAGTCAAGATAACATGAACCTCTGTGTACTGTAAAAACCATGTGCTTTCTTCAACTCGCTTTTTTGGTACTGATGTTAAGACTGTATCATTATGATTCTTCTTAGGTATATACATATTTTTTACTAAAATGGACAAGGACTGCGATTTTTGCCAGCAGCTGGGCCCCAAAAATTCCCCTTAAACATTGGAGGCAAAACCCAATAAATATGACTGGATTGAATTAATGGATATGATATGTTTACTTCTGGGAGTAAAATGAATCCAGGAGGGGCATGGATGGATTGTGAACAGAATTGTATCTGTTTGGTGCTAATCTCATATGGAAATAACAGTAGGTTACATCAGATCTGTGACATGACAGTCCAAGTAAAGTTTGGTATTAACCCAGAATGAAATGCCACTTACATGTTCTGTTTGTGTGTAACTGATTCCTAGGGTATATTAATCCTTGCCAGCAGCACTGCCATAGTCTAGAATACTCCACTCTGTTCCTATTCAGGTACAATTTTGGTTGGCACAAACTGATCAGTTTCAGTGAATGAATTAAAAATTGACCTTTCCCCAGGTTAGAAAGACCTTACATCTTAGACTCAGTTGAACTCACAGTTGGATTAGTTGTGACGGATAGGATTAACTGCAGCCACATCTGATCCTTCTCAATCCAGTACATCCACCTTACAAACCATACCCAGAGCCTGCCCAGACCCAGGGATCACTGGACCCGTTTGCATTAGCTTCCCAGACCAGCCGATTGCTCAGGCTCCAGCATGGCGCTTGGAGCAGCTTATGTCTGTTAACCATAGCTTAAAATAACTCATCGATCAATCATAAAATGGAGTTTTGGTTTCTCCTGGCTCCATGAACACAAAGAGGTGCACGTCCTACCATAGGAGGAAGCAATGGCTGTTAAGTTTTACAGTTATAGTGGAAAGCACTGATCACTGCCTGCCGTCCTCATTACTGGATGTGGCAGGCGGTGGAGGAGGTGGCTTGGCAGCACATGCAGGTGGGGTTGACTGATTTAGGGGGGATTAGGTCGAGGTCCTCATCGTCTGGGATCTCATCTAACCGATAGCCATCCTTTAGCAGCTGGATGTTCAAGTCTTGGTTGATCTGCTGCAGACAAAGAGACAAACAGTCAAATACTTGAGACTCCCTGCCCCCCAGTGGTGCAGAATGGGAGGATGTTTCCTGAACATGTGACATATTTGACTTCCATTCCCAGCTGCCAAACATCCCAGCAGTGAAAAATATCCCACCAGAGTCACAGCTGCATCCCCAGGTGCCACACACTTTCAATTCCCTCTCAACTCAAACAAGAGGCCTGGAACGCTTCCAAATGCCCTCCGCCCACCACCACTGGACCAAAGCAGACTTCCTTCCCAGCTGTCAGGAGTTCAATTCCAGACCCCTTTTCTGCTGCTAAAAGCCTCTCGCTTTCCCTGCCTCACCGGGTACACCTACACTGGAGTGGGAGGTGTGATTCCCAGCTGGGGCAGATATACACATACTAGCTTTGATCGAGGGAGGGTGCTAAAGATAACAGTGTAGCCGCAGCAGCATGACTGGTGGCTTGGTTAGCTGCCTGAGTACGTTCTCTAGGGTCTTGGACAGGATTATGCGCGGGTGGCTAGCCCATGCTGCTGCCGCTACGCTGCTATTTTTAGTGTGCTAGCTCGATCATCAAAGCCAGTGCATATATGTCTCCTCGAGCTGGAAATTACTCCAGCAGCTGCAGCGTAGAGGTAGTCAGAGGCTATGTCTACACTACCGCCAGATCGATGCTCCGGCGATCGATGCACCGGGGGTTGATTTAGCGGGTCTAGTGAAGACTCGCCAAATCGACCGCAGATTGCTCTCTGGTCAACACTGGTACTCCACTACGAACGAGAAGAGTAAGGGAAGTTGACAGGAGAGTGTCTCCCATCGACCCAGTGCAGTGTAGACACCGCAGTAAGTCGACTTAAGCTACGTAGCTGGAGTAGTGTAACTTAGGTCAACTTACTGCGGTAGTGTAGACATAGCCAGAGTGATAAGTGGCCACGTGAGCTTATCAAGTCTCGTGCATTACTTTAAGAGCTCCTGAGCTTCGAACTTCAAACGTGGGCCCCAGCACAGGGCTGGCTGCCTGGCAAACTGCACGGCGAGCGCAGGGAGTTCTGCACAACGAGAGAGCTGCTAATTGAGGCTGCATGATGCCACTGTATATTTTTTTCTTGGAGGAAGGGAAAAAAAGGATGAGAGGGAGGATGGCTGCCAGTGGAAAGAACTCTACTCAGTGCAATTCTGGTCCACCTGTTGGCAAGGGGGTTGCCCCCTCTGGTTCGTTAGTGCAGAGTTTAATTCTAAAATGTACCATTAAAATAAGAGTTTCCGAGGGAGATGTCCTCCTAACCCTGCTTTTAACAAAAGTTTTTTTTATTTAAAAAAGGGGGGGCTTACTGCTCAGAGCTTGCCAAGTATGAACCGAGAGTGAGTCCCCGAAGCCAACACGCGTACACGACGAGTACTGTCTCAAAAGTACACCACTCTTTAGAAAAGTATATTTGAGTTTCTCATGCAGCAATAAGGAGCCAATATTTATACTGCACCTTTCACAAATAAATAGTTCCATGAACTATGCACAGGGGTTTATTGCAGCCATCTCTACGTGCAGCCATGTTGTGGGACAAACCGCTCTTCTTTACCAATGCACAAAAGCAATGTACAGCAGCTTAGGCCAGCAAGTGAAGAATATTGTATCGAACTGAAACTCCAGGAGATGCTTGCAATAAAGGAGAGCTGGAATTGGGCCAGGACACCAGGACTCAATCCTCACCTCTTTAAGAGAGTGCGGGGAGACTTTCTTTTTTTACATCTTAGATCTTGACTATGCAGGGAAATCGATCGAAACAGCTCCCAATGTGGACACACTGATTCCGAACCAAGAGTGTCCACATGATTCCAGAACAGCTATAGTGCTATAGTGCTTTAAATTTGCACCCTACCTTATTCCCGAATAACTTCCCTGTGCAGACAAGACCTTGTTAAAAAAAAAAAAAAAAAAAAAAAGAACCTCCAGCAGCACAGCACCTCACACCAAGCAGGGGCATTGTGTTAGCATTGATCCAGAAGGAAGAGCTACTGAAATCATCACCACTACCCATGGTCCATAGGTGTTCCTTTGAGGTCTCCCGATTCAAATACTGATCTGGCCTGGCCTTGCTTAGCTGACCAGATCTGACTGCACGACTGTAACAGCGTGCTTTGTTTGGGGACCCAGATACATTCCAGATTTCTTGACTTGACCCTGGCTCCCAGCTGTCTCTTGAAGGTTTGATTTTGGTTTGCCCAAAGAAAGGATTGAAGGAGAAGCAGTTTCCAGTGGCCTCCATGTGAAAATGGGCTGCCCAACACTCTAAGCGTAATTTGATTCTTTAGTTGGGGAAAATATGGACCAGTGGCTGAGCAATTGATTCACTACAGATGTTTGAAATGTAGTAGGAAATAATGTTGAAGAATCAACCATACTGAACTCTCAGTCTTTTCCAAAAAGGAAGAGATAGCAAGAACTTCTATACAGGTTCTTCTTGGAATTTCCCTTGCCCCAGTTTTGTGGGGGCCTGATCACAATGCACAAAGTGACCCTGACATTCACAGCACATGTCAACATTCCTCTTATATAGACAGCTCTGAACAACCACTACTGTGGCATCCCAGGGACTTCCTGCACTTGTACGCGTCAGGTGGATGGCTATCAAGTCTGCCATTGCCTCCAATCTAGCACGTTTGCCTCTGTTGTGCCACGGCACCGTATATTGGAGGTCTGCCAGCATGGAATGCAAATTCTGACAACTATGGGATAAAACTTCAGCAGTGCTAAGATCACACGTGAGACCATCCCGTGGGGAAAATTATGCCTATCTCAAATGGATGAGTGGAGAAAGCCAGTTAGCTCAGCGAGGGGAGAAGCACCTGCCATCTTAAAAAAAAAAAAAATGAATCTTGGAATAAAGTGTTGCTACTAAATTCTTTGCCCAGCTCCATTTTGGAGTTTCTTGCTTCGATAATTAGTATCTATGGCAAGGCAGGCAGAAAAGATTGTAACTCACCTCAGCTGAAGAATATCCTGAAGAGGAATATCTGGACATGTCAAAGTCATCATCACTGTGGGGAAGACAAGATACAGCAAGGGGAAGGAAACAGTTAAAGAGCCTTGTTCTCTCTTTAGCGTCTTGCCTCTCTGTATTTTGTCCCTATCGTGAATCTTAACACCAAGCACAGAGAAGTTTATATACGTATGCAGCAGCTTTCATCAACACATCTCAAAGTACTCTACCTGCCCCAGTTTTAAAAAGTCTGAAAATGAATATTTGCATACCCATTTCACATCTATGGAGACAGGCAGACAGGTTAAGAGACCTACCCAAGGTCACAGTAAGTCGGTAGAAGAACGAGCACGAGTGGTGCAAGCAGGGGCCTGGGAGCTCAGGATTCCTGAGTTTCAACACTACACTCCTTGCAAGAAACAATGCAAGATACTGATATACAGTCTTACTGTTAATTAACACTTTTCATACCTGTCTGTATCCAATGCTACCAGTGGCTTTTCATCTGGGCTCTGATCTAACGATGAATAGCCTTTATTGGGAACAACCAGCCTGAAAGAAGTAAAATTTTCCATTAAGCACAAAATTAAACTCAGAACCATTTAACACGTGAGAGAAAGTCCGAATGTAGCTAGGCTATTGGAGGGACCGTTCTCATTCCACAGAACGTCATTTTCTTTGAACAATCCTGTCTTGTTCATGAAATTGTTTAGATTGAGAGTGGTAGAAAGAAATAATAGATATGCCAGTAACTCATTTTTTTACAGTGAAATGGAACCAAGATTTGTCTCTAGTTAGCTGCCAGGCCAGTTTTCGCAGACGACTGAGCTAGCCGTGTCTTGGAAGCGCACTCCTCCCACACGGAAGGATACAGCTGGTACTTTCTCGTGTTTCAGTCTGGTGGACGTGTTCCACTAGGATTGCTTGTGATGTACAAATGCTTTTTGGTAGCAGTAAAGGGATTACATTAGCCAATAAGCAAATGTAATGAGGAGCCCTCAGAAGGCAGTGGCCGTGAGTACCCCTGATATTTGATATGGGTGACTTTCTGGCCTTATGGAACTTAGCCCTTGTCCACCTGAAACGGAGATGTTTACATGAGGAAATCATTAGATAAAACTCAGGAGATTTACCAGGCCATTCATAGTAATTAATCTGCCAAGGGTTTAAGAGTTCTTATACCAACATTCAGAAACTGTCCTAGGACAATAATCCAATACTGGCCAGCTGTTTGGCAAGATATACAGGAGGCACACCTGTGGGGGAAAGATGGGTTTTAAGGCTTGGTCTGAAGGAGAGAGGTTTCTGATGGACAAGGGGAAGGCTGCTCCAAACGTTGAGGGAAGAACAAAAGGAGTAAAGATGGAACTGGAATAAGGAGACACCTAGAAACTGCTCCTTTTCACAGTGATTTTTCTTAAAACTGTTTCTTTTAGCATAATAATTAAATTGATACCATAATAATTAAATTGATTGTAGTGTAAGAACCCAAACAGACTAGAATATTTTACATTTCATTATTTTATAGTGGCTTTTGGGATCATCAGATATTTCATGAAGACTGAATACAAGTCAATATTGTTAATCAATATGAGATTTAAATAACAGAATGTAGATTCAAGATCTTCCTGGAAAGAAAGCTGGTTAATTTCCTTGGGGACTTACTGCATACAACACACAAACCACCACTCTTCTGCATAACTGAACTGCAGAACCTCAGCCTTCATTTAAAAAACACGGCATTGCTAGCCATGCAATTGAATAGAAAATCTTAAAAAACACTGACCAAATTAAACTAATGGAGCAATAGCAATGTATGCAGAGGGCAGAAACAGGAATAGAGGTGTGAGCTGTCCCCCTTCTTTTCAGTGGTGAAACTCCGTGTTTCCTCAAGGGTGTATAAATGAAGACAGGTAGGCTTTTAACTACACATGCTGCAACTGTAGGATGGGGCCCAAGATTAGTTCAATTTTCCTGAAACGTCCAGCTTTCAAGAGTTTGGGAGGTGCAGGGTTAATTTGAGCCTAAAGAGGATAGTTAATTCCACTCGTGCAAAAAGCTCCAGCTGCAAATGTTCCATCTTCCCTCCTGGCAATTTCTTACAAAGCATGTATGGCATTAGGAATACAAATGTCTGCCATGCACTGAAGATTGACAAAGACAGGGAAGAGTAAAATACATTCTGCAAGTTTGTATCAAAGCATGCATGTGGAATCCCATATGGATTGTATTATTCATTTTCTTCCTGAATTCATTAAGAACCCCCCATTTTAAAAAAAAATTAATGAAAGGTTGCGCCAGAATTTCCAGTCTGCTGCACCAGTGAGCTGCAGAAAACAAGGGACCCTAGCCCTGCTGCAGGATTTAGGTCCTGTTTCCATAGCATACAAGGGGCCTTTCTACTCATGAAAAAAAATGTTGGAGGTAGAAGAAGCGATGATGCTTAAGGTCAGTAACTGATCCTACAATCAGCTAGAGAGTATAACTGAGCCTCAGGAAGGAGCAGAGAGAAAAGAAAGCCATACAAATGAAACAGGAGAAAGAGAGTGTGGAAGATGGCCTGACTGAGGCAAAGGAATGAACAATCTTGACAGAAAGAAGATGACTGGACAGTGCAGGAGACTGTTTACTGGACACAGAGTATCAAAGAAATCACTTTAAGTTGTTACCATCTGATGGTTTGTTGGCCTAGGTTAAGCAAGTTGGTATTTTCAGTCCAGTCCTTAGTGGACAGATGCTTGCCACAGGGAAAACCAACCACCACTCAGCACCAGTGGTGAGCTGGAGCCGATTTGCACTGGTTCACGCGAACCGCTTGTTAAATTTTGAAGCTGGTTTAGAACCGGTTGTTAAAGGGGCGGTGAAGCTCAGGCGGGACGGACAGGATGTGGCCGGCAGGACCGTCCTGTCCGACCCACCTGAGCTCTCGGCTGGGGAGGCTCCCATGTGAATTTTTACTTACCTGGCGCCACTCCGAGCCTTCGGCGGCACTTTGGCGGCGGGTCCTTCAATCGCTCCAGGTCTTCGGCGGCATTTCGGCAGCGGGTCCTTCAGTGCCGCCGAAGACCCAGAGGGACTGAAGGACGTGCTGCCGAAGACCCGGAGCGAGTGAAGGAACTGGTTCTTGAGCTTCTGGCAGCTCATCACTGCTCAGCACCCTTGCCAAGTCTCAAAGAGGCAAAGGCCTGACAAGACTCAATTACCCTTTCGCCCACAAAGGTGGGCTGAGACAGGGTGGTGAGGGGAGATCAAGTGTTTATAACATTCTTAAGGAAGAATAAGAAACACAGAAGGGTGAAAAGTGATAATGTGGATAAAGCAAAAGAGAAAAAAACGACTAGGTCAGGAGCAGGAGATTTGATAAAAGGGAAAAAAAATTACACCAGTCAGCAGAGAGCAACATAATCTTTTTCAGTGTTTTCACTCTGCTGAGACTGAAGCAAGTTCACAGAAGAGTTAAGGAATTGTTAGACACTGGATATGGAGCAATAGCTGCAGTAAGATCATAACAGACATTAATGCGATTTTTAGTGAAAATAAGCTACTTTAACCATTTCATAGGCATTTTATGTTCCTAGGGCTTGAGTCATCAGGGCAAGGTGTGGGAAGGTAGCTCCCTGGTGGGGCTGCTGATCTTAGGGCTTTGTTCCTCAAGATCCCACAGAGTGAAGTAAGTGGAGGGGTGTGCGAGACATAGACTAGCCAGACTGCAGGACACTGCGGCAGATGTCTGGGAGGGATAGAGTTTTCCTTGAATAGTTTCCAACACGTCTGTCAGTAGCTGGCCCCAAACAGTTGCCCTCCCTCTCAATTTGCAGCTTTTTTGCACACTGAAGCAACCACCCACCCTGACAACATGAGTCACTAATACTACATATAGGTCCCTATGTCTGCCACCTCCCCCATCCAACCTTCCTCACTTCCAGTTTAAATCCTGACTCCAGTGCTCCATATTCTCATTTTTTTCTTAAATTTGGCAAGCAACAGGGCTTCCACCACATCCTCTGGGAAGCTAATCCACAGTCTAATATTTCAAAGTACAGGCGAGTTGCATCTTACGTGGGGGTGAGGTTCTAAAGTCAACGTGTAAGGCGAAAATCGCATATAGTCAAAATTACCCTTGAAAATCCCTTAAAACACCCATACAGTACAGTATACTGTACATGGTTTTGTGTATGCTGTACAACCCTGTACAGCAGGGGTCAGCAACCTGCGGCACGCGAGCTGATTTTTGGCGGCACTCCGCTGCCAGCTGGGGTCCTGGCCGCTGGTCCCACTCAGCTCGCTGCCGGCCTGGGTGAACGGAACCCAGGGCCGGCAGTGGGCTGAGCGGTCCTGGCTGCTGGTGCCACTCAGCCCGCTGCCAGTCTGGGGTTCTGGCCGCTGGCCCGTGTAAATGTAAAATGTATTATTGGCATGCCAAACCTTAAATTAATGAAGACTTGGCACGCCACTTCTCAAAGGTTGCTGACCCCTGCACTAGAATCCACTCAGCGTGGTAAGATGCTCACACTATGGGTGTGTCTACACTACCCGCCGGACAGGCAGGCAGCAATCGATCCAGCGGGGATTGATTTATCGCAACTAGTCTAGACGCAATAAATCAACCCCTGAGCGCTCTCCGGTCGACTCCTGTACTCCACCGCCTGGAGAGGTACGCGGGAACGGAGACCGATTGAGGGAACAGCAGATTCACGTCTCCCATCTCACGCTCACTCCGGGGCATATGCTCATTGAGTGGAATGGTGGGTGGAATTGTTCTTTTTTTTTTATTTTATTTATTTTTCTTTTTTTTGCCAAGCACGTATAGTTGAATTTGCGTAAGTTAAATGTGCGTATGATGCGACTCGCATGTAGCAGTTTTTCCTGATATCCAGCCTTGACTTGGGAAATGCTCGGATACTATGATGAAGGGTGTATAGAGACAACCCAAGTTAACTTTTCCTACATTCCATTCCATCCTAGTTACATTTTCTGCATCTCTTGCTAGCAACGAAGGACTTTGAGACTTCTCTACAGTTTTGAGCTTCCAAACAAACTAGAAACAATGTGATATGTTCTGCAGCCATCAAAGTTACTTAGAAATAAAACTCTGGCATGATTTACGATTGCCGCTGCGGGTGCTTGAGATTTCTTTCAGCAAAGACAGGTTTCAGAGTAGCAGCCGTGTTAGTCTGTATCCGCAAAAAGAAAAGGAGGACTTGTGGCACCTTAGAGACTAACACATTTATTTGAGCATAAGCTTTGGTGAGCTACAGCTCACTGCATCTGATGAAGTGAGCTGTAGCTCATGAAAGCTTATGCTCAGATAAATGTGTTAGTCTCTAAGGTGCCACAAGTCCTCCTTTTCTTTTTTCAGCAAAGGATCTCTCATCAGGTGGATGCGTAGCACAGAGAGAGGATCTAACCTAAGGTTTCCATTCTATTCAACATATGGTGAACTAGACAACGTTCTCATCTGCCAGTAAGCATCCAGGTTTCACCAACATTCTGAAATTGTCTTCACTGTAATTCTACACTGAAGATTGGCTAGGTATAAACGGCACCCTTCTGGTGGCACTCAAACTGTTCCCCTCAATGACTGTCCCCCTCCCTGATACTCAGTGGTGTTCCAACTCATTAATGCTCACTGAGTGAGGTTCTACTGTACTGGACCTTGGACAGACAAAACAAAATGGGATCCAAGAAAATATACAGTCATGAACTTTTTTTTTTTCCAGTTGACTGGTGCCTGCAACACAAACTAAATATTGCCAGTTATCTGTGAGCGTGAGCAGCTCTGAGAAAGTTTGGTCATGCTGTTTAGAGCCCAGAGGAAATATATGGCAAAATGCACACAGACGGGCAATTCACAGGCCTTTGTTAAGTCAACCGATATTTGGAAGCATTTGAATTTAAAAAGAGCAGCAAAATTACTGGGATAAAACCAGCCATGTCAGAGATAAGCCCTAAATCAGGGTGATGTTCTTTTGAAGCAGTACTGTGCAATCTCCTATTCATAGGATTACATGGTGTTTTGGATTACCAGGAACATTGCAGTCAATCAGACTGGACCTCCGGTTTAGTCCTGCTTTCAATAAAGATCAGCCAGTCTGCCAAGGTACCCCAGCAGCTCTCCTGGCTGGCTGTACCTTGACTCTGACTCCCCAAAGCAGCACACAGAGTCTGTGGCTTGCCAGACCCTGAGAGAGTCATCATTACTGTTGTGTGAAGTCAGCTCCGCATGATGACAGTGCCAGCCCCCAGGGAAGCACACCGGGGAAGGGTGGTGCACTGCACACATACTTGAACATTATGAAATCCTCTACCTTGTTCGAGCCATCACATTGTTCTTCTTGGGCTGCTGATTAACTGGGCTTCCCATGTTGCCGTTCTTCAGGGACCCCTTACGAGCTAACTCCCTCTGCTTCTCTGTATAAGGAATACAAAGGGGAAAACAAAGTTAGTAACGTTATTTTCCTGGCTACCATGCAGCCGCTGACACTGAATTCTGAGCTGGTGAAAGGTGTGGTGAGGATTAGAAGCCAGAGAGCGAAGTTCTTGATCTCCAAAGCATGGACAGCTCAAGGAACGTGACAGTTCTGTCCCTATTCTACCCCGCTCTATAAGATGCCTCATGCCTTACTCTGGTGTTGCAGTGGGGGAAGGGGCAGCTAGCCCATGAAAGCTTTGACTCTGTTGGGACTGCCAGGAAGGGGTTCAGGTCGGCACTTTCAGAAGCTGAAAATGGCAAAGAGTCTGCCACCAATGCAGGACGTTGTGCATAGTACTGGTTTTAGAGCTTGGTCCAATCTAGTTTTTGACCACTTTCCTGGGAGACAATCCCACAACCTAATAGTTTCCACTGCCTGAAGGATTATTACCTTCAAGCTCCTTTCAGTTCTAGACTGATTATTATCTGTCCCCAGGGGTATGATCACATTCTTCCCCACACTGAATCTCATTGTTCTTTTCTGTCCTTACCCCTCATTTCTTGAGATAATTGTTTAAATGTTGACCTTTGAGCATTTTGCATGATTTCACACCGTACTTTAGTTTGCTCAAGGTTCAAGTGGCCAATGAGATGGAACCTTAAAAATGCGACAGCCTGAGGATTTTTCGGAATTATAAGTGGGGATCAAAATCAGCTTTAATTAGGAAGAGACTACGACCTCTCCCTAATAAACTGCTCACCCCCAGAGCTAGGATTAGAACCCAGCTCCACAAACTTGCCTCCTTGCAGAATGAGTCCTAGCTAGGTCCTTAAGACAGTCTATGCATTATTTCTATAGCAGTAGTGACCAGAGACTCCAATAAGGATGGGAGCCCATTACACTAGGTGCTGTACAGCCATACAGGAAGACATGATCTCAATCCAAACAAGCTAGGCATCTAATATTAGACAAAAGGCAATAAGTGGGTGCAACAAACAAGAGGGGGAAATGTGGGAAAGACAATGAAAATAACAGCAGAGGAAAACAGTCAGCTAAAAAGAAGAATTCTGCTTTCAGTAATAGAAGAACCTTATGTTCGAAGGGGCAATCAGCCAACAGTGGTATTCAGATACTAAGGTGATGGGCTCTGAAACTATATAGAACAGAACATACGCAAACTGTGCACAGTTCTTATCCCACTGACGTCAATGGTGAATAAGCTCCCACTGACATCTATAGGAATGGGATTGGGCCCATAATTCTCACTGATATGTGCTAGAGGGAGGCAGACACTGGACAGGAGTCAACATTTCAAATCAGGGTGATTTTTCATAACGTAACCCAAACATGGATTGGTCATCTCCCCTTCAGACATCTGGTATATCTCAGTTTTCCTTGCCAAAGACATATGGGGATACAACAGGGCATTGTGGTAGAAGCTGGTTGCAACCTTGACTGCAAAAAGGCAACTGCCTCTCTGTAATGTAACAGAGGCCTCTGGTTGTGCATTCAAATGTACAGACGATACCAGCCTTGGAAAAGTATTGGCAGCTCAAAGAGGTTACATAATTCGTAAAAGGCACCTGACTCCACATAGCTTCCGAACGCAAATAGGGAATGGCAGTGCTGTTCTGTCAGGCAAGTTTGTGGGTTGGAGTGAGCCAATGTCTCCTGTATGGCCCCTTCTCTTCCTATTTCATGACTTGGGGTAAAATTTTCAACAGTGCTTAATATGACACTTAGAGTATGCCTGCACTGCAAGCAGAGGTGAGACTATGGCACGTGTAGACAGACTCAGGGTAGCTTTGAACTCGCTAGCTTGAATAACCGTAGCAGCGAAGCCATGGCAGCACGGGTGGGACACTGGGTATGTAACTGAATAGTGAGCCCATGCTCCAGCAACTTCACTTCTCTGGTTGTTTGGGCTAGCTAGATTAAAGCTAGCTCGGGTATGTCGACACTTGCTGCAGTCACACCTCTGAGTTCAGCGTTGACAGACATGCAATTGCATATTTACAAAAAGCTGTTAGAGCACAAGTTAAAATTAAATTACTCACTATGGATAGTTTTGATCAGAGCCACTGATGCGGCCACCAAGCGTATCAGCTGCCACAGGAAGGAGCAAGACAAAATAAGTGACCTGACGCTAAACTAGTTCAGTAAATAGCATTGTCCTGTGAAGTCTGTCAACTGTTGGCTCCATTGTGCCACCGACTGATGCAAATTCCAAAGCCACAGGCCCTCGACTGAACAAGGTCTGCTAGCAGCCCAGTAGAGTTCAGTACCACGAACCATCAGCCAGTGCAATTTTAATAGTCACAATTGTGTACAAAAGTAAAAGAATATTACTCTGAAAACCGTGGTCCTAGAACATCCAGTCCACTAGCGCAAGTATTCCACCAAACACTGCTGCTGATAGTCACACTTCCTAAAAGGGACCGTCACCACCACCACCACCTGAAATCGCGTTCTAAGCTAGAGCACATCATTTTCTGAAACTCTGAAAATGTTCACCCTCGGGCAGACACTCAGCCTGGAAAATGTCATCCTGAAAGGCGAATGTTCAGTTTAAGAAGCAAAGGGAACAGGCCCTACAGAACGGAAATCATAGAATCATAGAATATCAGGGTTGGAAGGGACCTCAGGAGGTCATCTAGTCCAACCCCCTGCTCAAAGCAGGACCAATCCCCAATTAAATCATCCCAGCCAGGGCTTTGTCAAGCCTGACCTTAAAAACTTCTAAGGAAGGAGATTCTACCACCTCCCTAGGTAACGCATTCCAGTGTTTCACCACCCTCCTAGTGAAAAAGTTTTTCCTAATATCCAACCTAAACCTCCCCCACTGCAACTTGAGACCATTACTCCTTGTCCTGTCCTCTTCTACCACTGAGAATAGTCTAGAACCATCCTCTCTGGAACCACCTCTTAGGTAGCTGAAAGCAGGTACCAAATCCCCCCTCATTCTTCTCTTCTGCAGACTAAACAATCCCAGTTCCCTCAGCCTCTCCTCATAAGTCATGTGTTCCAGACCCCTAATCATTTTTGTTGCCCTTCGCTGGACTCTCTCCAATTTATCCACATCCTTCTTGTAGTGTGGGTCCCAAAACTGGACACAGTACTCCAGATGAGGCCTCACCAATGTCGAATAGAGGGGAACGATCACGTCCCTCGATCTGCTCGCTATGCCCCTACTTATACATCCCAAAATGCCATTGGCCTTCTTGGCAACAAGGGCACACTGCTAACTCATATCCAGCTTCTCGTCCACTGTCACCCCTAGGTCCTTTTCCGCAGAACTGCTGCCTAGCCATTCGGTCCCTCGTCTGTAGCGGTGCATTGGGTTCTTCTGTCCTAAGTGCAGGACCCTGCACTTATCCTTATTGAACCTCATCAGATTTCTTTTGGCCCAATCCTCCAATTTGTCTAGGTCCCTCTGTATCCTATCCCTGCCCTCCAGCGTACCTACCTCTCCTCCCAGTTTAGTATCATCTGCAAATTTGCTGAGAGTGCAATCCACACCATCCTCCAGATCATTTATGAAGATATTGAACAAAACCGGCCCCAGGACCGACCCCTGGGGCACTCCACTTGACCCCGGCTGCCAACTAGACATGGAGCCACTGATCACTACCCGTTGAGCCCGACAATCTAGCCAACTTTCTACCCATCTTATAGTGCATTCATCCAGCCCATACTTCTTTAACTTGCTGACAAGAATACTGTGGGAGACCGTGTCAAAAGCTTTGCTAAAGTCAAGAAACAATACATCCACTGCTTTCCCTTCATCCACAGAACCAGTAATCTCATCATAGAAGGCGATTAGATTAGTCAGGCATGACCTTCCCTTGGTGAATCCATGCTGACTGTTCCTGATCACTTTCCTCTCATGTAAGTGCTTCAGGATTGATTCTTTGAGGACCTGCTCCATGATTTTTCCGGGGACTGAGGAGAGGCTGACTGGCCTGTAGTTCCCAGGATCCTCCTCCTTCCCTTTTTTAAAGATTGGCACTACATTAGGCTTTACATGCATTACATAAGCATTACATGCTTAGGTAAGCTAAGGGAGACCAGTGCCTTGGAAGATGGAGATCTGGGTTCTATCTCCAGCTCTAACAGGGACTTCCTCTGTGACCTCAGACAAGTCAGTCTGCCTCAGTTCCCATCTGTGAGTCAGGCAGTCATGCTTTGCCTCATCTCAAAGGCTGGGGAGAGGATGGATTAATTAACGTTTGTGCTCAGTCACTGCAGTGACAAATGCCATATTGAAGGCTATAGCTAACCTGCAGCAGCCACTCCGTGTTCCAGCTACACTACAACATTCACCCAGTCAGGGTTGAGACTAGGATAGGGGATGTATTGAACAATGCACAACAGCACAACACAACAGTCTAGGACAGAAAGAAATGAACAGAATAATCAGCAAACTGCAAGGTGAATTCTGGTAGGCACAATACAATTACCCATGGTTGAAACTGACCAGCACACAAAAGGGCCACTTTTATAAAGAGCCATAAAACCTCCAGTCACCATTAAGGACGTTTTGTGTTTCATCCAAGAGTTGGCAGCTCCTGTATTAATATCAGAGGGAGGCAATGGCTTTAGTACTGTCAGTGGGAAGAGTTTGACCTATTGAGTTCCCTGTTTACTTGCTTGAGTTTACCCTCCAAGGACTCATCCAGATTGCTTCTGCTTAGTTTGTGAAATCTAATGGGATCATAGCAAAAGATGGTATGGGTATAGCCTGTCCTTCATTTTTTGGTCTTACCGCTGTTGGATACTACAAGGCCCTTCCTCTCACCCCATCCAGGACTGATCACACTGCATGTAACATTCCCAGTACATGCAATGAACTTCTCAGGATGCAAAGCAACTTGATAGAAAATCGATCACAGCTCATAAGGAGCCGAGGCCATCAAAACTGCCAAGTGTTGAACAACTCTCAAGTGTCCGAAAACTTGGGAATTTAAGTTAATGGGAGTTCCTGATTATGTTCAGTGA